CAAGCAGCATGGAGATCAAGACCTTCTAGTTTATTAGGTCTCTAGTATATTTACTTTCCTTATTGCTTTAGAAGATCTAATATGTTCAGGATTTAATATTTTATTGCTTTAGTTAGTGATCTAGTTGGAGTAGGATTAGAGGTATTTAGGATTTATAAATAGGGATCAACCCCCATTGTTTTTGAGGTAGAGAATTGATGAGTGAATAGAAAAGGAACGTTGTGTTCAAACCGAGTGTTTAAGCAAGGCTGTAGTGCATGTTTATCATACAACCGTGTCTAAGAGAAGGCTCTGAGAGCGTCTTGAAGTCACACTTATCGTGTTTAGTCGAAGGCCCTGAGTGCGCGATTATTCACAAGCGGTAGGCAAAATCACGATCCCTCATCACGCGTGCTCGCAGGTCACTGCCGGTGCCGCTGCACCGCTACGTATGGGCAGGTCTTACGATCGGCCCTCTACTGGCCGTCCGACAACCTTTTCCGGCAACAATGACATGGACTAACATGAAATGACTTAAAATGACCGAGAACACATAAATTGCTCGGGAGTGTTCGTCTAGGTTTTGACTTGGCTCGAGAGGGCTTATATAGCACCTCCGCGCATTTAGGCACTAAACATGAACTAAATCATATAGTCTACGCATGATCTTTCTAACATGACTATAAAATGACTAAAAGAAGGTTAAATGAATATACCCTTCCGATCGCTCGATGAAAGCGCTAGGGTTGCGCGTGCTTGTTCGCTTCCCTTCGGTAGTGTGGGCCTTCCCTTCGGCAATAGCTAGTGCAAGGCTCTCTTCTTTCCTTACTATGTTATGCTCTCGAAATTTCTATCTTTTATCGATAATTTCTCTTTTAAATATAGCTAACTTTCTCTCGGTTTTGCATGGAAAAAGCATGAAGAAAACTCACGGCTTACTTATATAAAATGAATAAAAGGTGAAGATAAAAATGTGAGTAAATCATGAGTTGCCACTTGCATTAACCGTGTGCTTCCATGGCATTAACCGAGCTCAGTCATCGCACGAGGTGGCGTTAGAATTACTATGTCATCAAGTGTGAGTTTATGTAGTGCCACATAATATAAAGCAACTAGGTGAGTCATAACTTGCAAGTTGCGCTTTGCTTATCCTTGGCCAACAAAACTCATGGTAATGATGGTGGCTAAAGCACAAATTAATTAAGATTGATCTTGGTGCTTACTTGGGCATAAGCTATAGATGGACGGTGTACCTAATGTGAACGCGGCAGTGTATAGGGATGGTGTGTACGCATGACTTGGCTTAAGGATATTAGACCTTGGTTTAAGACTTTAAGCACAATGATTTAAAACATAACTTATCTACGGTTTAATCTTGACCGAATTTACTCGACTTCGGTCGAAACTTGACTTCGAAAATTAATTCGAATATTCTCGATTTAAAATAGTTAATCCCGACTAATAATGTCTGTTTATTAAAGAAACGTTTCGGGAACTAATTATCGAAACTAACTCGGTTATTGAAAATAAATTAAACCGAATAGAATTTCAACTTAAAGTCGAACTTATTGGCTCGAAGGCTAAAACCGAATAACATTAATAAGTAGAAATACATCACTTTTATTAATAACAAACTGGGTTATTACAATCTACCCTCCTTCAAATATTTTCGTCCTCGGAAATACAAAACTAGACATATATATAGAACACAAGAAAAGTATTTACATCAAAATTCAAAGTCAGGAAAACAAGCTCTAATGTCAGCTTCGCGCTCCCAAGTGGCATCGGATTCCCCATGGCGATTCCATCTGATGCGTACGAGGGAAATATCTCGTCTCCAAAGCCGTCTAATCTTTCGGTCCAAAACTGCTACCGGCCGTTCCTCGTATGATAAATTTGGCTGAAGCTGAATTTAACTATGCTGAAGAA